TGTCGTGTGTTTCAAATCACTAACCAAACCAGTAGTTCCGATTTTTCCAATTAATCTTTTCACAGTAGATGAATGAGGAATATTATTTCGACCAAAAATTGGACGCACTTTACGAATCGTGGCAATCAAACTTTCACCATTTTGATAATAATGTTTAACAATCAGGACGCGTTGTTCTATCGTGTAATGTCTACTAACTCCCATCGATCTCCTATCAACCTGGCATGTCATAATCTTGTGACAACATGACAGCCAAACTGGGCGCAATTCACGTCTTATTGAAACACATTTTATTAGTAATATAATTTTAGTTGTGATCGCTAGTTAAAAATGCATGTGTGTGTTAGTATTACATTCACCTAGCGCAACCCTGGAATTGACTTCATTTATCGCTACTTCTTAATCTCTACTTATAATAGATACCAAGTCACTTAATGGCGCGATCAAATTTTAGCTTTCGCGTTAATCAATTTCTTTACTTTGTAGCGATTTATAAATATTCTTGTATTCGTTTTAATAAAATTTTTTTTAAATGTTTTTTGCATTTCATTGCAGTTTTTCACGAGTATTTCAATGAGCCAATAGACAATTTTCTACCTTGTTCTGTTTAAAAGATATAACCTAAACCTGCTTTTATGAATAAACTACATAATTAATTTTAACATTTTTGGATTCGTCATTTTTTCTGATTTCAAAAATATACAATTTGTCACCATTATTTAATAAAAAGAAACTTTTTAAAAAAATTATTGAGTGAACGAAAATTAAAGAAAAAACGCCTAATACTGTTCCTGTCCATGTACGAGGTATAAGGCATGATTCGGAATCCGATTCACCAAGGCAAGAAGAAGCTTTTCTTGGAAACACTGCTACAAGAGATTACAATAAATTAAAAAAGTTAGCCGTATCCATCTCGAATATCACATCACACTATTGAGGGATTATAAAACGTTTGCTTAAAAACCCTTATATACTGATTATTAAATTTTTCTCTCAAAAATCTGACCGAAAAGGGAACCCTTTCAAAAAATTTACAGCAATAATTTTTTTTATTTTATGAATAATTTAATGAAGCATTCGATGTTTTCGAAAAATATTAATAATAATCTTTATTTTTATTAGACTTATAGAAAGAAGTATTGGAATTGTCAATTATTTTGGAATTTAAATTTAAACGATTATTTAATAAACATAAATAGAATAAAAAAATTAGTTGATTCACAATTTAGAGTAGAATAATAATATAACATGTTAGTGTCAATACAATATGCAGAATACATTACGTTCCATTAAATAGAATAAATTGTCACACATTATTATTTAATATACATAACCATATAAAAACCGCTACACACATTTACAACTCAATGGTTTGGTAATCAGATGAAGATCTGGAATACAATATAAACTCATCAGAACTCTACGAACGTTTTTCCAGAAAGTAACATTTTAATTTTTTTAATAAAATAATATTTGAAATAGATTTAATTTCAGGTGGAACTAAATTAAATACCTGTATTACTCTATAGTAAACCCCATTGTCAAATAATAATAAGTGATGATGGGGAGTGATGATGGGATATCCTTAATGAGTCAGAGTGCTGAGTTATCATTGACATACCATCATCCTTCATTTGTCACAATTTGCTGATAATTCCTTTTTAACAAATTCAATTGACATATGTAGGTAGGCAGCGGCATTAACTCCAACTTTTAAAAAGTGGCTTACTGGGCTTCCTATTGTATACTTTAACCATACATCTTATAGTGTTTTTTGATCAATGAATATCTTTTGGCATGAATACTAGAACCCCAGAAAATTAATCAGTAGCTTAATATTATAAGTTGCACCTGAACAAAATAATAAATATTAACAGAAAATCGAATGTTCCGACTTGCGCATAACATGTCTTGTTAAGTTTGAATAGTGCTAATATGGCATTTAAAAGTCAGACTTGAGTCAACCTCAACTCCCAGAAATTTTGTCATTTGAAATAGGGATAGATTTTCCATTGAACTTAAAATAAATATTCACATCATAAATTTTAGAAATGAACTGAATAAGTGAATAAGGACTGTTTTTCTGCTGTTTAATATAAGTAACTTTTCTTGACAACATGTGGAAATCTTTTTTATCATGGAAGATTCTACATTAGATGTTAGATTTATATTATTAGTAGATATTACACAGAAAATATCGTCAGTAAATTCAAGAATATAATTTATTTTCAGATAAATAGTTAGTTCATTCAAATACAACAAGAAAAAATCATGGGCCTACGACTGATCCTTGTGGTATATATGTGATTAAGTTTTGATAAAGCAGTAGTAGTTGTAACATTTATTTTGGCCATAATACACACTATCGCTATTCTATCCCAAAAATACAAACCAAATAAGAAAACCCTTCTGACTCTTTCAAATTATACGAAACCCAAACCACACCTCTCCTTATTCACAATCCATTAGCTAGATACGCTAGTAACTTTCATGACATGATAAGATAGGATTAATTTGCCTGGTCTACGAATAATTTCATATATTTAGGAAATGTGCATGAAAAACTTTTTTAACTAGACAGATTTCTGTATAAATAAAATGAAATAAACCCTGAAAGGATCGCGATTTATATATCACAATATGGATATAAATTCATATTCCTTTTGCTCATTATTTTTATTTTCTGTTTCAATATTACATCGGGCAGTATATTGTTTCTCCTTTTCAGAGATCTGATAATGTATACTATCTGGTTACCGAGCTTGTGTCCGGAGGCGATCTGTGTACGTTCGTCAAAGGCCAACGTAACGGGAAACTCGAAGAGCGACCAACTAGGATATACGCCAGACAATTCGCGTCAGCCCTATCTCACATGCACAGCCTGGGGATTGTACACAGGTAAGTGAGAATTAATTATTACGCTGTCTACGCTATATTTCGCTGACACATTTCACTCTGGATAAAAGATAATAAGAACGAAATATGGAAATATTGTTCTATTTCCTCTCAACAATAAATATAAATGATTTTCCTTTAATAAATACTGAACGAAATAGTTGCTATGATATCGATTTTATAATATTAATAGTTAAACTCGATCATATTATGTGTCAGTCAACTTGGTTCCCCCTCTCCAGTTACTTTTTCTCAACGATACCATGACTACTCTTGTAGCTATGCTAGCACTGGAATACGTTTTTTTTTTCGACGGCGGACTTTTATTACCCGCCGGGCCTTATTAACCTTTACATACTTCAGAATTAAAAGTTTATTCTAGAGAACGGCGTAGGAATAACATGAAATATCGGACGGTTTGAGAAACATTCTAGATGATCTAGTTAACACATTTACATTTGTACAAACGTGTCAATTTAAGGTTTGCCTTCTTGCATTTGCATTTTTGCAAATACATTTCACATCGAGATTGAAAGCATCTTTGGCAAGATATCGCTATCATAATAATATAAAGTTTTATGTGAAAATGTTGGTACCTTGAGATGTCGTATGTAAAAGTAGGTACTGTATTTTACAACATGACTGAACGTTTTGTCTGATGTCCAATGGGATACTCTAAAAACTAACAATAATAAATTGTGCATGTGCAAAAAATATTTTTTACAAAATTTTATCCAAGATTTCAAGTCAATTAATCTCAAAACTACTGATTTGAACATACGACCTTATGCCATGATGATAGCGATATAGCGTTGTTCAAATGGGATCAACTTGTTGTCTTTCTCCATCCAAAAATAATTGATAGGATTTTGGAGAGGTAGAGTCCAGACGACATCTTGAAAAACAACTCTTTTTAACTGTCGGTCCAATGCATCAGTCGTAGCGGATATTTTCACCAAATCCTCTATGGTCTTATGGTAAAATACTCACATTCGAACAAGGTCAACATGAATACCATCGGTGGTAGATTCCTTGTAGTATAGTTTTCATACAAATTGCATCACCACATCCCTTACCCTTGGTGATCTATGAAACGGGATGCTAGCAACAGTTGCAAATTCTTCCGTGAAGTAAGGAAAATTGTTTTTTCGTCTTGAAGCAAAAACGTTTACATGTTGTCACTCCGGATGATGATGCGACTAAGTTGACGAGATCATTTTTTTCATTATTCTCTTGCTTTCAATGCAATCCAAATTTTGTCTGCTGGTTTTACAGCAGTGATGTTCTGGAAATTATTCAGAAATATTACACGAACATCTGTGTCTTCTTTATGAATCATCGCAACTAGGTAATATTGAAGGGCGTTGAGAGATGCACCAACAATACAAATGTCCGCTTCTTCATGATTGCATGGACGCACAGAAAGTTGCTACTAGTTATCATGAAGCTTTTGATGCCAAGTTTGTCGAAATCGGAGTATCTATTTGAAAGTTCAATATTATGTAATCACACAGTTCCTCTTACAATGAGTGCGATTATTATAGATGCTCCCAATGACCCCGGTCTTCCGAAAAATCTACCAAGTAAATATGCGCATTGTACAAAATGAATGTTTGCCAGGCACTGCGTTTCAAATTCTGCTACCCAAATGAAGGAAATTAATCAGAAACTAAATGGTTGTAATTTCAATTATAGAAATGTCAGCGTCCGCTATTTTATTACATAAGGGGAAAATATTGTATGATTCAGTAACCTTCGTTTATCACTGTCAATTAGCAAAAACCCGATATGAAAAATAATCACTAACTCATGAATTATAAGCATTATAACTGGCAAGGCCCTGCCTGGCGAGCTAGCTCGTGGGACATTAAAAAAATACTAAGTCGAAAATGGTTACAGATAAAAAATGGTATGAGATGCATTCGCTTCGTTTCCGAAAAAGGAAACGATCGCACTTGTTGCTTGACCGTTTCTGAGATAATTTAGAAATGTTCGCAGTGTCTCACGTGCCTCCGAAATTAAAGAAATGATATCTCTGAAACATTTAACATTAAGGAACGAAAAGTAGAGGTAGTTTGTTCTTGTATCTATTTAACTAATTGTGTGGCTTCGTAGTCGAGTAGTAAGGACACTTGCCTCTCATCCTGGAGTCCCAGGTTCAATCTCTGGTCGAGGATCTTTTCTAAACCAGAAATTAATCCTAGCATACTCGGCATTGGGTGTGTGTCCAATGTCTCTAAATGTGTAACCCTCTTCCACACAAGGTGCATTGAGGTACTTTCAAGGATACAGGGGGTTGTATTACCTGTGGTGTTTAATTGTATTTTTTTTTAATATTGTTAATTTTTTGGACATCCTGTACATTAAATTTCGCTTTTCATTGTGTTATTATCTTATTCCTTTAATAAGGAAAACGTTTTCTTCCCCTAAAGTTATTTTCTAAAACTTAAAATAAAACAATTTTTCTCTCCGACACACAATCCGGGAACACACTGTATACTTTAATGCAAGTCTAGTAGGTACTCTTTAAATCAAATAATGTACAGATTGAGTATAAAGTACTGTCCACTTATTCAAATTAGTCCACATTTATTTTGAAACATTTAATGGAACCCCAGTTCCTTTGGTCCAAAAAATCTACAAGACTAGCGATTTACATTCAGGTTAATGCCCGGAAACCTAGTACCTACCGTGAGTTTTTTCATTTCAATTCCATTATTGCGCACTGACTGCATGCACTTCAGAGTAGAAGTGGCTCGTAAAATACGTCGATTGCATCAATTTTGTATTGAATTTTAGTGCAACATTTAAATGCACAATGTAGCCGTCGCACGAACTGAAAGTGTTATTTATTTGCCCTTAAATTTAACGTTTTAAAGAGGCGCTGCCAAAAGTTAAATGTAACTATTGGAAACAATAAACATATCCTCTACGGTGACTGAATCCCTCCCGCGCTATCCGCATTGCTGCCAACTGCATATTTATGCAAAGGCGCCCATCTTCAAGCTTTTTACACTTTACGTGTCACGCTGCTTATCTGAAACTATCCAAAGCTTGCTCCCTATTCATGGAGGTTGTCTAGTTCGTCTCTCATCTTCATCCCAGAGGACGACCGCCTGTCGAATTGCTCATACATTTTCTCACTCCTCGTGACAGCTATAGTGATGCGTCAATAAAAGTTTTTTTTACCAATGAATGACACGTCGAGCATTTCCTGTTCTCTGCTGTTGCCATAACTTTTACGTGCAGATTTTAAAAGACGGCTTCGTACGCAGTGCATACCCTTATCTACTTTGGCATACTGTAAGATATTCATATGCAACTCGCATTGCTACAGCACATCCCTCATGGGCGCACGCAGTCAGGGGCAAGATGGGGGTAATTACCCCCTATGGAATTTCCCATAATGACATTTTGAGAAATTAATATATAAATGGATAAAATTATTAATGGAAGATGGATTTAAGTAAAGGTATCTTAATAACATTTGATCGTTATAACTGAAATAAAAAAAACGATTTCAAACGTGCACTTTATGTGGCCAAAAGTCAAATATTTAACGTAGGTTTTTGGGACCGCTCATTATGAATCTGAGATCAAAATTAAGTAATTGAAATGGCGGATCCAATATGGCGGATGTCAATTAGGTAAATTTGATAAATATAAATCTGTTTGCATGAGTGTAGCCCCGCGATGATGATGCTGATACTACCCTGCTATGATAGAAGGTTGATAGAATTTTTCGTCATTTTTAAATTAACAGTTTTCGTTATTAGCAATTCAATTTGTATTCGTTTTCTTAATATAACCATGTAATATAACACTCTATACGAGTGGCTGCTGGTGGATATAGGTTATACCATATCTAAATATTGGAACATGAAACCCAAGCAATATTTTAAGGCACGACTATCAGTACTGAATGAAGAAGTTTTAGGGAAAAAAAATTGAAAATAAAAATTGAGAAAAAAAGTTGCTCTGCCGCCCCAGATTACTTCTAGACCATTCATAAAATACTTATAAACTATTTTTTTTTCGTAGTCAAGGAAAATTTATACCCTGTTTTTTGGTTTTTGAAAATTTTGATTTTTTGTGAAGTTATGACATTTTGAAATTTAACTTCTTTATTGTGTAAATTTCAAAATGTCATAACTACAAAAAAATCAAAATTTTCGAAAACCAAAAAAAACGGCGTGATAAATTTTCCTTCTGATTACGAAAAAAAAATAGTTCGCAAATATTTTACAAATACAACACTTTTCTGTATCTAAGAAAATAAAGTATTTTCTTGGACTTACATCTTAAGTGGTACACCCGGTACATCATGTGTACATTTAAATTGTCTATTTTTCTAATTTGTTAAATAGTAAGTATGTGTATTGAATTCTTAGACATGGGTCTCTTAAATGGCAACGTTGCATTGTAAATCAGAGACAGACAACCCCTCGCTGGTCAACAAGTTCATTTTCCCACAGAACACAGAACAGAAAAAAGACGTTTTCCATCTAGCGGTCGTTGGGTCAACACTACACACTGCGCGCGATACGATGCCAAAAATATCAGTCCTCCCTCAACATACATCTTTTATGAGTTATCATTTATTTATATATAAATTTCCTAAATAAATCTTTGTTATCTATTTTGTATAAATATTTGGACTTTTTCTTCCTCACCATTTTGATTATTTCATTAAAGAAATGTCACTTATCAAACATAATAGTTGTCATTTTCATAGCTCATTTTATTAATCTTAACTTTTCCATATTTACAGTAACTAGTTTAACTAAAATGTTAGACGTTTAATAACTCAAAAACGGTATATGGTAGGGGTAACATATGGTATATTTTTGAAATCAGGAACAAAGGATCATTCCAAAAATTTAATAACATACAGGGTATCCCATTTAAAAAAAAATTTTATTTTTTGTATCCTCTAACATCTGCACGCTACTGTAGTTTTGATAGCATTTTAACAAAATGAAGTGATAACCACACAACTTTTATTTAAAACTTTTTTTTTATAGGCAATAATAACGATGATAAGAGGTAGGTAATTTATAATGAATAACCCTGTACAATGTCTAATACTTTAATACACATAATGATAGTGTATGTATTTATGTGTACTGATATTTCTGTATGTTCTGTTGATCTATTTAAACGCCCAGAAATATTATGAGTCTAATTCTATTGAGTAAATACACAAACACCCATCACAGATCGATATTTAAATTATTAATAACAAATTAGTCTGAAATTGAAATATATTTGGGTCAATGTGTGAACGTAGTTAAGCCAAAGTTCAGCTGAACCTAGTTTAAAATTCAGCTATTGATAATTTAATTTTTGATTTGAAAATGAACAATAAAAATTATAAATATATATATATATATAAAAATAACATTCAAACATAATAATATGTAGATAAAAGAAAATCAGGAATCAGAATACATAAACATGCTTAGACGCAAAGAATTAGCATCTCTAATTTCCAAGAAAAACTGCATATTAACTGATTTTTTTCAGCACATAATACATATAAATGTGTTTAATCCCATATTCAAGTTTAACATCATCTGTAGACCAAAAGTGTGATTTCTAGATCTAACTACCCACTAAACAGGTTCAAATTCTCAAAACGATATAAAAATTTAAACAGTAATGTTACGCTTGCAAGTTTAATTATACCCTTTCCCCCAATTCTCACTCAACAATGTTGTAAAAACCGTGGCCCACTAACCAATAAAGCGGACTATTTGGGATAGGCCCTCTGTCACTATTCATACTATTTTACACTTTATGATTTCCAAGCTTTCAAATGCATCCATCTATCTAGTATTTGTTACATTCCTAATTAATCTTAAATTGCTAATATCTATTTTATGGTTGTTCTCAAACGCATAGACTTATCTGTTCTACCATATTTGAGATGGGCCATATGCTCTTTGAATCTAGTTTGAATTGATCATCTAGTCTGTCCAACATATTTTCGATTACAGTCCTTACAGTTAATTTCGTAAATTCCCGACTTTTCTTTTGTTTCAATTTTGTCTTTTGGGTTACCTAAAAGTTGTTGTAGTTTTATTCCCGATGAATGAACCGCTGGCATACCTAAATCTTTAAAAATCTTACCAATACCACGGTTGAATCGAAGATCGAATGTATCGATGCAAATTTCGAATTTTCTCTTTCATTTTGAAAGGTCGAGAAATTTCGAAACGACTCTTTAAACTTTCGTTTCCTAATTATTTTATTAATTAAACTTACAGAATGTCCATTAAGCTATATCCGTAACTAATGCCTTTTCTTTTTCAAACCTCTCCTTATTGAGGGGGAGGCTTAATAGACGATGGACTAGAAAATTAAAACTCGCCATTTTGTTTTGAGCACAATGGTGAGGGTCCTTAGGGATATATCTTAGAGTACTGGTATCTTTTCTGTATATGTCAAATTCTAACTTATTTTTACTATTTTTAATTATTAATACATCTAAAAATGGTAGTTGTCCAGAGTTTTCAGTTTTATATGTGAATTTAATTGACGCGAAACGACTGTTTAATTTAGATACAAAGTTATCAATATTAGCCACTTTTGTATCGAACACTGCAAAAATATCATCCACATACCTAAGCCAGGGGAAATACGCAAATTCTTCTTTTGCTTCCGTCTCGATCTGTTCATGAAGAGACTGGCAATGAATGGTGACAAAGAATTACCCATTGCTGTTCCTTCATGTTGTGCGAAGAAATTATCGTTGAATCGAAAACAATTTTGTTTCATGCAAAGTTTAGTGAGTTTAAGATATTTTTTTACTACATCTTGACATATCTTTTAAATCGAGTAGATCCTTAAGGCAGTCCAAGGTCTGTGGTAACGGAACACTTGGAAACAATAAACAAACGTCAAGGGAGATCAAAATTTCACCTTCTTGCAACTGAATATTTTTCACCTTATTAATGAAATTGTTGGAATTAATCACAGAGAAACTAGGTGGTGCAATAGGTAAATTTTCGAACTCTTCTGTTAACCATTTTGATAGGTGGTAAGTCAGCGATCCGATTGTTGAAACAATATAACGTACCGACTTTCCTGGTTTATGTATCTTAGGCAAGAGGTACAATTTAGGTACACTTGGTTTAGATACATGTAACTTCCTATTTAAAGCTGGAGTACTAAGGT